ATCTGATAATCAAAAAAATAGAAGCTCAAGGAAATTCAAAGACAAATCTATTCAGATATAAAATACAATAGAAACTATTATCCAGGAATCACCAATCCTTTAGAATGGTGGAGGGATAAAGAATACAGTACCTAGTGAACGGTTATTCTCTGATGTTGGTATTCATTAGCGCCAAAAGAACTTGCTTAAATCCTAATCTTTTGTCTAAAATGTTTTTAAAAAAAAAATGCACCGAATCAAATTATTGGTTCAAATTGTTTGAATGGTTGACGGTGCTCGAATCACTCGAATCATTCTAATCGCTGATGGTTTGAATCGAATCATCGAGATCAAAAAATTTTTTACATACATATAAGTAAAAATTAATATTTAAAATTTGCGCAAGTACTCACAAGAACTTGAGCTACAAACTAATGAAAATTTTTTTTTAACTTGATAAAAACAGTAGAAAATAATTTATTAGCACTAGACAAAAAATCTAAATAAAATCACTCAATTTGAGTTAGTTGAACTTAAACGGGAATGTAAGCTAGTATTATCCAAAATATCAGATGAAATGGATTCACTATTATTAATACTGTTATTATTATTTACCAATGAATGGTTCATTGTTACTATCGCTTCTACTATTAATTCACCATTATTGTTATTATTTAATGGTTCACTATTACTATTATCATCTTTTATTCTGCTATGAGTATTGTGGAATGAATAATAGATTTTTTCATTTTGACATTCCAAGTAATGAAGAATATATATTTTTTTATCACCATATAGTGCAGGTCACTATTGAATGTTTATCTGAAAAAACAGAGACGATATTTGATAGCTATCGACTAGTTTTGCAATCCATCGTCAAGATAATTTAAAAAAATTGCTGGTTTCAGGGTGCGTTTTATATGTTACATATAACAGTTTCCAAATTTAAAATTTTTAAAGGCTAAGAACCCTGAAACCAGTAATTTTTATCTCGACGATGGATTGTAAAACTAGTTAATAGCCATCAAACATCATCTCGATTTTTTTCATACTAAGGTTATTTAATGTGTGTTAGAGTGACCAAAAAAAATTATTTATCAGCCGTTTAAAAATTACTTGGTCGCTTAGCCGCTTGTTTTTCTCAGTTGGCTGGCATCACTAGGTAAAAATATCTTGTATTTTGTTGTATTCAAAAATTTGTATGGTTTAATTTAGAATTATTTCTTGTAAAGATGAAATCAATTGAATCATTTTCAAAACTAAAGCTAAAACGGGTATCAAGTTGAACCAGTTTCAAAGCAACAAATTCAAAATTTCTATCAATGGAATTTCTTTTGAGTATCGAAATTAATTATTGTTTTTAAAGATGGCGATGCTTCATTGCCGGGAAAAATAGATTTCCATAATCACGACCTATCACTTGAATAAGTTGACTTCTTCCAACAGGTTCTATACGTACCACTAAGTAGCAGCCAATTTTAAAAGATAAAAGCAATCTATATGATATGTATGCAAAATATTGTCTTACACCACCTTGATGTGATGTAAGGAGAATAATTATCATGGGAAATTTAAATCTTATAATTCGAATTAGAAATTTTACTTAAACTACCTACTAATCGTTGTTGACACCTACTAGTTAACTAACATTAGTCCTAACCTTGCTTACTTGCTCATTAAAGTAAATAAACATGGCCTTTTACCCAAAGCTCCACAATTTGTTACCTTGTCGCTTTTATCAAAGCGCTTTAAACAAAGAAGATAAAGACAATGTTTTTTATTTTATTTTTAAAAGTTTATTAATGATTAATTTTATTTAATAAAAATGATGATTCTCTCAAGAGTTTTATTTATTAAAACGTTAATTATCCTCTGCGAGGATGAAGTTATGCTTTTTCAAGCAAAATTATCCTTAATGAAATTTTCATTGATCACTACAATAAGGATAAAGATAAATCAATATTGACATTATAAAAACTTCCATAATTATTTACACAATAATTTGATAATAATTATAAAGAGCTTTTGCGTAAAGTTTTCATTTGACACTAAAATTAGTTGACCTGGAACAAGTACCGAATCCCTAATCAATTATTTTATCTACCTCAATCATGTATCACGTTATTAATATAAGAAATGTTCAAGTTTAATAATGAGTGTGTGGGAACTGATTTTGTATTCAGAAAACTTAGCTCCTTGGGAACAATGATAAAACAAATAAGATTGAGATACTTGAGATAAAAATATATTTATTTTATTTTATTTTTCGAGAGCTTTTGTATTTTATTAGCAATTTACTTACGTCATTTTTGACTTAAGGCAGCGAATTTGACGTAATAATTTACAACTTTGGTTAACTTTTATGTTAATGATACGCAGTTGTTCTCGATTTAGCGAATTTCGGTTTAGAGGATTTAGGATAAGACCAAATTTTTATCTTGATGACGATAAAGATGATCATTACGATTTTTGGTTATTATAATTTTTATAATAACGCACGATTAATAATGTATGATAATACATTACGTTACTACGTATAATAATAGATGTAAATAATAATAAACAATTATATTTAATATTTTAATGCGGGTCATGTCAAGAAATTTCTTATAAAAATTCTCAAGATTAGAAGATTATTGTAATAATAAGGTTAATAATATTTTAAACGAATGAATGTATTTTTTTATATTAAATAAAATAATAAAATAATATGATTTAACTATTCAAATTTTTGATTTAACGGATATCTCGATTTAGCGGATGAATTTCATAGTAATGGTACAAATATGTCCATTAAATGGAGACTTGCTGTGTATATCACAATGCTGTTACTTCAATCACAAGAAAGATTTTCTCTAATTAAAATAGAAAATAAAGTATACAATACTTTAAAGATATTGCTCACCATATAACAATTCCTTATAATAATAAAGAGGTTAACGTAAAAATTACAATCATCTGATAGCTAATTCAATTTGTTGAGATTCTACAAGTATTTATAATATAATTTAAAATATCATCAATAATAAATAATTAAGATCGAGCATATAACAATTAATTAGGTAATTACCATTATTATCACCACTAATTGTAACTTTATTGGAGTTTACAGATTGTGGAAGATTTGTAAAATTCAATAATCTACTTGTATAAACAACATTCGGATGAACAATTGCTGTAATTGTTGAAGGATTAAAAGGTTTTTTATCTGCTTCGAATCATTTTTATTCTTTAGACCTATTTGATTGATATGCACTAACTGATCATACCAAAAACTAATAACCTCTAAAATTTCATTTGCTATTGGTCTTTTTTCAGAATTAGCATCTGGTCATGTAGTTTATCTTTGAATGGTTGTTGACATGTTAATGTTTCTGAAATTAAAATCCCAAAGCTATAGATGCCAGATTTTTGTGTATAGGATTTCTTATTTAACAATTCTGGTGCAACATGTGGTAATACTCCAAATTATTACTTGATGGTTCTTGATCAGCTGGGTCTGGTAATCCTAAATTTGCAATCAATGCCTGGGGTAAATATTCAAAATATAAAATATTACCACCACTGTATGATGAAATATGTTTAAACTTGAGATAACACCATAAAGCATTCTAATTCTTTTGTCCCATTTGTATAGTTTGATTTTTAAAACTTCCATCATATGCATATCTCATTATTAGAACATATTATTTTGTATTGGGGTCTTGTGAAATGTCATAAATATTAACAATACTATTATAATAAATTTAATGTGATTTTGAAACAATTAATAAAAAACTAATATTATTTAAAAATAATTCATTAATTATCAATAAATTATTTATTGCTTTTAAAACTCCTCAGAAATATTTTGTGAATTTTTTAATTCCCCACTTGTCTAGTCTGATTGGTGTCTGCAACTGATACAGCTTCTGTATTGCTTAATCAAAGAACTAATAAAAAAGAAAGGCTGGAAAGTAAAGATTATCTATGATTGAAATGAATGCTTGCAACCCCTCAACCCAGTAATTGATTTAAAGGAGCAGGTGACACAAGGAGAATTTAGGCTATTGTAATGGATTATAGATAGTATTGGTATTAGTAATGAAAAAATCGAAAGACTTTGAAAGAAGGTAAGGAAGCTCAATAGTGGCAATTTTGCAGTTTGCATTTCTTTCTTGGGAAAAATGAGTGACCCGATGGAAAAAGAAGACATTCAGAATTGCAAATGCACCTTGTATTCTTTAAAAAGAACAACTCATCTACAAGAAAGCGGGGTGTAGATTAAGGATAAATAATAATAATAATAATAATAATAATAATAAGTATATTAATATGCAAAAAGTTCGAGTAATTAGTTATATATTATGGGGCTACTTGGGATTTTAACCCCTAAAATTTTTGTGGTGTTATGTTCACTTTGTGTTTGCAGTACGCCCCAAATAAAATATAATATGTAATAAAAATTTTTTTTTATATTTTTTTAAACCACCTTTACCAACTGAACCCAACAAGTGATAAATAGGTTATTATCTATTTGAATAATATATAAACACAAGAAAATCTCCTAAACCAAAACATCAAGAAAATATTTTTACACCAAAATTTTTTTGAAACTTGCAAATATTATCTTTATTAAAACGACTAATTCTTTCAAAAAATATTAAAAAATTTCAATCTTACGCTACAACTATACTTTTCACGCTAATTCGTTAGAATCTAATTATTCCTTTACATACAACTATCATTTTTGTAAGTATTTTTGTTATTATTATGTTCATTGTTGAATTAATTTTTTCTAATCATAAAAAATATAATCTTGCACCATAATTATTCTCATTCATACTTTAGACCAAATCTTCACAATCTAAATATTACTCAACGTATAAATTTAATTACTTCGTCATTTATGTAAGCATCGCTAAATTACTTTTTCCCATTCCCTCACTCACTCATATATACAATCATTTAAATATATATGTTTATAAATTGCTTGATTATTTAGAAAAAAAAAAAAAAGAAATCGTCAGAACAAGTGAAACATGACATCCTCTACTTCATCCGCAATTACAAACATGAATCTTGACGCAGACACCCAACAAAACATTCTTCAACTTAGAGGTACATGGGAATTCCAAAACGTTGCACAATTCTTCCATACGTTCTATGCTGCCTTTGGACTAGAAACATTCGATACCGATGTAAGTGTGGTCGTCTATATCAATGTATTATTATTGATAGTCATGCATCTTTTATATAGATCCTTAAATATAATATGATATAATATAATATTTGTAATTTAAAATTTATATAGGAATTTGAGAGAAACCTAGCAAGTTCAGGTAGTGCTCAACTAACCGACCTGCTTGCAAGGATGTTAAGAATATTGACTTCGAACAAAAAAATTGGGTATATATATATATATATATAATAGTAATAGCAATAATCATATTAGTCTAATTTAAAGAAATCGTTTATAATATACATATATATTTCATAATTGGTGTTTATTAGTGCAAATGATTGTGAGCAGAAATTAAAACAACAGTATCATGTACACGCACCAGAAAAGAACTTCTTTGGGAACGATCAGAGCCCAAGATCATTTGAGTCATTGTCATCAAAAGAAAAGGTGTTGCATCGATTTTAATTCAATTAATATAAAATTTTTAAATTATAAATTTATTTTAATTTATTATTATTTTCATTATTATTTTAAAGATCTTGGTGTTTCACGATCTTTGTCATTGGCAATTACGAAATGCTGATAAGTTCCGTAGTCATCTATCAAGTCAAGACAATCCTGCTGATTGGGTCAGTATTGGAGTGTATAAAAGAATACAGGAAAAATTATCTATCAGCCATTTATTTATTAAATATTTAATAAATAATGAATATTGCATATTTACATTCAATCATATTCATTTATAAAGAGGGTTAGTCCAGTAGGATACGATGCTAAAGGGAATACTTATTGGCTCTTCGATGGTATGAATTATTTATAATGACGACAATGACAATGATGATGAATATACCATTAGTATCATCATTATCATCATTATCATCAATAATATTACATTAATAATAATAATCAAAATATTATTTCCTGCTAATTTAGATAACCGATTATGTAAAGAACAACATATTGCGCCACCACCATCATCTAAGAAATCAAAGGCAAAAGCCAAAGCTCGAAAAGGATCACGACGTAATGGTAAAGCAGAAGACACAAACGAAGATAATGTTAACGTTGCCATTAATAATAGTGAGACTATGATTTGGGAAACAGTAGGTTTATATGCATGCATATCCAAAATTAATTAATAATTACAATAATTAATATATTGAACATCTATTTTTTTTAAGTTATGTATAACTATCGAGGATTGGGAAAACTTTCCTCAGAGATTTGCAAAATCTCGTAATGCTGCAGAAAAAGAATTTTATGCATTGTTGACAGAAGATATTGTTCCAAAAGTTTTGGAAGATTTAAGAGTAGTATTATTTTTTTTTTGTGTGATCAAATTATATAGAATAATATTTAAACAATCTTTTTATTAAAAATTTATTTGTAATATTCATAGACAAAGGAAAAGGAGCGTAAAAAAGTCGAAGCTGTTGCTAATAGAAAACGTAGTCAAAGAATTATCGAAAAGGAAATTGCAAAGAAAGAGACTGAACGTCTTGTAAAAGTAGAAGAAGAATCTAACCCTATGTTGCAAAAAGTACATTATTTATCTATACATTTAACTAATTGATTTATTTATTTATTTATATAAAATCGAATTGAATTAATGATCAAAAAAAAAAAAAAAAAATTAATGTTCTTGATAGGGTGCTAAATATTCTATTGGTGCTAGATCAAATGGAGCCAGATTAACTCGACAATCACACAAAAGATCACATACCGAAATTGAAGATGAAGTAGATCGTGAACAACGTTATAAGGTACAGAGAGCTGCAAGAGAATCACGTATGCTACGTAGAAATGGCGGTGATATAAGCCAGGAACCTTCAGAAAATGGTAATAGTCTGGACGAAATTCAGAATGATTTACAAATTCAAATACAAGACCACACTCAACAGGAAAATCAAAATCAAAATCAAAGTCAAAATCAAAGTCAAACTCAAAGTCAAACTCAAAGTCAAACTCAAAGTCAAACTCAAAATCAAAATCAAAATGATATGCCAATCGAACAACAACAATATCTTTTTAAAACAGAAACACAGTCACCCATTCAACAATCTAATCACGATCCAGAAAACAATGTAACTGGTGTTTCAAATGGCGTGCAAACTAATATTCCTACGGATACCCCCCCAATCAATGGTTCAACTACAGGATTGTTTAGTACTACAAATAACCATCAATCTGCTAGCAATCATACTACTAATACTCACACTACTACCAGTCATGTTATTACCAGTCATGATACCAGTCACACTACTACCAGTAACGCTAATGCCAATGCCAATCGCGTTAATGCCAATCGCGTTAATGCCAATCGCGTTAATGCCAATCGCGTTAATGCCAATCGTGTTAATGCCAATCGTGTTAATGCCAATCGCGTTAATGCCAATCGTGTTAATGCCAATCGTGTTAATGCCAATCGCGCTAATGCTAATCGTACAAATGCCAATAATCAAGTCAATGGTCAATCTGATAACCAGCAAGAAGATGATGAGCAATCAGAACAAATGGATGACTGGTTTTTTGAATGTAACTGTGGACTCACTGGCATAAACATTGTAATTATCAATTGATTGTTTTCTCTTTGGAAAAAAAAAATTTTAATAAAAATTTTTTTGAATTAATATAGGATGATAACCGCCGAATGATTGCTTGTGACCGATGTGCTGTTTGGCAGCATCTTGACTGTCTCATAGCAGTTGATGAGAGATATCGCGAAATAAACGATTATGAAAACGTGAATTATATTTGTCGACGATGTTCGCTTTTTGTGAATCCTTAATTTTTTTATTTTTTATTTTTATATATTTTATGATTTATAGATAATAATACTATCATCACTAATATAATTTGCTCAATTTCTTTCATTAGTAAATAATTTACAATCAATAAAACTAATAATTATCATATATAATATAACATCATTTTTTTTTAAAAAAACAATGGTTTTAAAGAGCTTTTTCTTATATAGTTAATTAGTAATAGTTTATAAACTAAAAATATATATTCTTTCACAAAAATATTTATAAAATACATCTGTATATAAAGCAAAAAAATAAAAATTATCTATTAAATTCATTGACTGTTTATTAGCTTATTTATATATATTTTTTTTTGTAAAAAAAAACAATAAACTGTCGATCTATTAAATATGGGGGTATTTATTATCACCACCCTTCAATAAGAAATTATAATAGTAAATTGTCCACTCCACCCCAAATCTAATATGATTCTTTTTTCTATTGTTATTAGCATTTCTGTTAAATTGTTATTATTACTATTATCATCTCTATTATTAGTATTATTATAATTATGGCTATTATTATTATTGTTTTCATTATTGTTACATTTATCGTTCGTTAATACCAAACGTAATTCTGTGTTTATAACCTCCTGGCAACATTGGTTAAATCATTCATTTTTTCCATGACATTACATAAAGGTCTTTTGGTATGATTCCTTTTATCAGGTGAGTTGGTTTCTGTCTTGATATATTCTCAAATATTTTTTTCCATCAAGCATATTTCCAGGAGCCAACTGATTTATTTCTTTATTTATTTTACTGGGTCTCTTGGATTATATTATTGATTGTTTCTTGTGAAAATTATCTAATATTAATATCACGTGCCTAGATTATTCCTATTGCTGCGCCACGAGTGTATTCATGTGGTTTTTTGGTTAATTACTTACTGCCAAATTTAGATATGATGTCATAAACTAAACTAATTTAGTAAAGATATTCTTAGTCTAGTCTAAATTTAGTAATGATCTTAGCGCTAATAGTATATATACCAAAAAAAAAAACTAACAAATAATTTTTTGAGAAAATCTCTTCATTACATTAATATTAAATTAGAGACCTATTCTATCAATTAACGAGGCTATTTTAAAAGGTAGGATAGAAAGTGACTTCTATACTTTTAAAATTTATGCAAAATTTAGAAGGTCTTTAGACCAACCAACTATATGATCCGTCATTTCTATTCATCTATTATATATATATAATATATATATATAATAAAATCTACTAACAAGTTTTGCTCAAAATTTTTCTTTAATACCTAAATTTATACTTGCAAATGAATTAATATTATTTATATTACATATTATACACGATTAATTTTTGTAATAATGAAATAACTACCAGCACATAGAGTAATTGAACTTACCTAGAAAAGAGATATTGCAAGCTGCAAAGTTACTCATTTGCTGATTATTAATATCATATTATTATCGTGTGTCTTAATTAATTAGCTAACGTCGTCAAAATTTAGATGTTGATTATTTCTTAATATGAATGAGATTGAATTTTGAGAAAATTGTTTCAATAGACTCGCACAATATTGTAAAATTATCCATATTGTATAAGGGCGAATTAGACCAAGATTTAATAGAAACATTCAACAATTGTTTGGTTTAAAAAAGTATTCCATTTAGAACCACTACTATACCATGGGTAAAGTAGAATATTTTTCTATCAAACATTACCAAAAAAAAATTAAAAGTCAATACTTTTTCATTGTGATGTCGTTAATTTTAATAAATGGCAATTATTCTGATAGTCTAATTAAAGAATTAGAGAGAGACCCCAAACCTTTTGCAATAAGATGATTTGGAAGACTTGGTATATCTAGATATATCGTCGTAAGAATTAATTGAAGACTCCATCTATGAATGAAGAAAACAATAGACGTATAGAATAAATATTTTGAGTAAAATTATTTTGAATTAAATTTAAAAAGCAACTGTAATAATATAATAGTAAACAATAATGTAAACTATTATAATAACAACCATAGACCATTCAAATTACAATCACTGTGCTAACAACTTTCACCTTCTTTTTACATCCAGTAGTAGGTTTGTGAGATAATATTGCTTAAGTCAAGAAGAATTAGTTTTAAAAAATGTCAGATCCACAAAATAAACTATTTGGTAGATCTTCTTCAAACAAGAAAAATCTAAATGACATTACTCTGCACAATACAATCATGGATAACCACAAAACTGGCAAATCATTGTCCTAGTGAAATTAGAAGAGAATGTCTAAGGCAAATAAACAGTGATAATAATATGAAATTTTAGAATTATCATTAACTCAACAACCAATTTGTTGACAAAAGAATGCAATGATTCTATTAAACAGGCATTAATCAAGCATTTGTTTGCCGTATAATTTCTTTTCCAGTTGTCATTAGTCCATACGTTATAGATTTTCTTCAACAACTCCATCCTGCATATCAACCATCATCCAAGAGTGTTTTATCTGGAATATTTCTTGATATAGAAATATCTAATGTTATAAATGGATGAAAGTGGGAGTTTACAGATTGAAAATAATGATACTTTTGAAAACAGAGTCAATCATTGCTTAGAAAGTGAAGATTGTAATTTAGACGATAGGAATAATGACGTGGAAACTGAAAATAATGTTAACCTAAATAATGATAATTGCAATTTGATCAATATATCAATAAAAATCAAAGCTTATATTAAAACAACATAAAAGAAATGTTGATAATGAAGTAGTAAAAAATAAAAGACAGAAATCTAAATAAGTATTAGTTGATAACATGAAAAACAAATATTAATAAAAATTAGATTTGGTTTTTACTTTTAATTGTTTTTTTTTTTTTGCCAACGGCTTCAATGATTTTGATTTTCGTCAATGGTTTAGTTTTTGTCAAGGGTTTAGTCACTCGCTATTTTTGACGAAATAGTTGCACAATTCCAAAAATATTTCGTTATACAAAATATTTTTACCAAAATCTCAGCATTAATATTAAAAACTCCACTAGTAGCGCAGCACGTAAGTCAAACTAAATTTAAAAGTTATATGTCAAAACCAAATCAAAAGTATTTGAAAATGATTAGCTTTAAAAATATTACAGTGCTATAACCTATTATTTAACAATTATGGTTGATTATTGCTTTAATTTTTGGCTTCTCTTGTTCACTAATTACAAGGTAATAAAGCTTATCAATTTACATGGTTCTTGCTTACTGCCTCTTTCTTGTATTAGAAATCTTCGGAGAATCTGTAAGCATGGTAACAGATAACTCTTTTACCAAGCTCAAAAGCTTCTTTATTTACTTATGACCAATTTTTTCTAGTCGTTTAAATACTTTGTTTATATTTATTCACCGATTGCAAACTTGCCTTTAGGCTTACTTACCAACCCGTTTTAAGCAGTTTGAGCCAATCGGTTGCATCGAACCATACGAATCATTGGATATTCGAATTGTACGAACCATAAAATTATTCGAATCAAAATTATATTATACATGATGGTAAAGTAGGTTAGTTTTGAAAACAACAATCGGATTTTAAACATTTCGAATTCAAACTTATCATGTAGTCCACACAAAATTTTCGTTATCCTTGATTTGTTGATTTATATAAATATACAGTAGATTGTTTGGATATTGGCTTCCGCATGAACTAATCTCGTTACAATATTTACTAATTGCATCATATTTACCAGTTGCCTTTATTAAAGTGGTTCCGTACAATTTTCCATCTAATTTCGAGTAGGATTGTCATGCTAAATTACAAACAATTTCAATTTTCAACCAATGCTGTGGTCCAAAACTAGTTTAGGATTGGTTAAGATGGGGTTTAGGTTTAGGTTCTCTCTCAAAACTATTTGGGGAACCCAAAGAAATTTCAGATCACAACATTGATTTCGATTTCGATTTCTATTACGATTTTGATTTTCGCTAATAATAAGGGTATTTTGAAACCATTGTACTTTTTCGAAAGTTTCGGATTTTCTTGATTGAATTTCGCCATCATGTATAAAATTATTTTAATATTCGTCTTTTCTAGTAAAAGATTTTTGTTTAATTTGAGGCGACTAATTCAATTTATTTTTTTTCGTAAAATAAAAAAAATAATCTTAGTATTAGTAGGATTTCTACTCGTAATAAAAATTCTTATTCGAATTATACAACTGAACCTTAATTTGAATTATTCGTTTTATTCGAATTATTGGTTTATCCGTTTTTCAAATTACTCAATTTATTCGTTTTATATAAAATATTAACATGGCGGACACTCGCAAATTGGTAATGATTTTCGTCGATCATATTTTGATTTTATCACGAAATTTGATTGGCCCGAATAAATTACATAAAAAATTTTTATTTTTGAGGAAAAGGAAGGTGTAACATACGAATGTCCATCATAATAATTTTGATTTATATATAAAAATGATAATAAAAATCTTTTTCTTTTCTTTATTTAAAGATAAAGATATTATCCTGTCCTTAAACTTAATGAAAAGAAATCATTTTTTATGTTATAAAAAATTTTTTGGAGAGAATCATCTACAAATTACAAAATTGAAAATGAAGGCGTGAGAAGTATCTTCCTAAATATATATTATCAATAATCTGTTTATTGTTTTGTGGGAATAATAAGAGAGTTTACATAGCTAATGAAGATTTTTAACTTTGGAAATCATAGACTTAGGTTAAGAAGGTAATGAACCAGAATATGGTATTCAACTTAGGGCTTCTATTCGAATAAAAAAATCAATTCGAATAAGAAAATTGATACGAATAAGAAAATTGATTCGAATTAAAGGTCAACTGTATTAGTATTACTATTACGAATAATTCGAATTTGTATTACGAATAGAAACCCTGATTCAACTAGTACATTTTCCAACGACGCCAAAATCTGCCAAAGCAAACACCTCACAAATCTTACTCTTTGTTGATAACAAACCATGTAACCAAAGAATTACAACATCTTCTACATAATAACAATTTTAAATGTTTTACAATAATAATAAAAAATTTTGTATTTCAACAATAATTAATTTGCTTCAAAAGAAAATGTCTAATCATTATAAAATAGTTTCAACAAAAATTGAAGTTTTGGCAACAAATTATAGTTTCGGCACAGTGATTGAGTTTCGGCAAATTAACTGAGTTTCTAACTATTAGTATCTATAACCTTTTTTTTCCCGAGTTTCGGCATCATCACAATTTAGTTTAGGCAAACTTCTATACATGTGACACGAATTAGAAATTTTTTATTTAATATACTACTTTTTTTAAAACTCTTGTCCGTTTTTTTGATAGTTTGAAATTACTTAGTAATTCAACAAAGAGTAAAAAGCGGAAATTAATTATTAAAAAAGTAGTATACATATAGAAATAAAGTAATAGGACATGTCGCACGACTGATAACAGATTTTTTTTGTTTGAAACCATGAATCCGCTGTGTCAAGGTTTGACTGTATAAGAATTTGACGAGCTGCATGCTGTAAATCATCAAAACAGTTTTATTATCTTTTACTAATTCAACACTTCACTTCACTCGCATTTTTGTAAAACAGTAAAATATCAATAATACAAAGTTACATTGGAAAAAGAAAATGACCATCCCTAGTAAACGTAAACATGTAGAATTCACCACGAAACCAACCTTCGCCGTCACCTACTAACCAAGCCCAAAAGGTATTGAGATTTAACACCTGGTACTAAACATAGATAAAAAGAAAAAGGATATTATCCATTGTAAAATTCAGCAGGAAAACCATCTGATGAAATTACATATTTCAAAATCCTCTGACAAGTTGTTAGTATAGCTGTTGATCATCAAACATGTTATTATTATTATGTACGGTTTTTTAGTATCTTTACCGTATATTCCAATACATGTAAATGTTGAATATATTTTTTGAAAAAAAGAAAATTTCTATTAATTTATCATTATGATGGGAAATTTTCGTGGTAAAATTTAATAATGAATCGAATAACTTTAAACCATGGTAACTTTTTTTTTTCATAATAGAATTGAAACTTTTTATAGTTTTATTGCTCAAGTCTTCTATAAAAGTTACAAAAGAAATTTTTGCCTCATGTTATAAAGTTTATCTAGTAATAATTTTTTTCAATGTCTTTACTATATAAAAAAAAACACTGTATCTCTTTATCGAAGGTTCTGAATACAATTTTTATTATTGTTTAATTTCTTTTCTTTCGATAATATTTAGAAAGGCTTTCTGATTGGATCCAAATACGTTAATCTGTTTATTTGTTTACAACTATTTAAATTAATATAAATTAATTACATTATTGTTTGTTTATTTTGCAATTCGGTTATATTATTGGTTGATGTTTGTATAAAAGGATAGATAGTTCGTTTCCCGACTTTGCAAATTAATTTTTTAATCAATAATTATGGATAAAACGTATAAACAAATAGATACAAAAAAAAATTATATACATGGATGGGAAATATATAAAAAAACATTAGTATTACTTGCAATAATAACCATCTCATGGAATTTGTTGTATTATTTATCATCATATAATTATATTTTTAATAATAATATTGACGATTCCTTCTCACAAATAAAACAGATGTCATCATCAACAATATTACAGGATTGTAACAATAATTGTAAATTCATATTTCCATACTTCATAATAGAACAAGAAACCAAATCCAATTTACACATAAGAACATTTGTTCAATTAGCTGAAGCTTTAAATCGTATCTTAGTATTACCAAATGTTGGCTCATCAAGATCCAGAGCATGTTTACCCTTTTCAGCTTCTTTTTATTATAATTTAAACTCATTGCATGAAATGTTTCCGAATGCAAAATTCATTGTTCAAAAAGAATATGAATTATGGCTTGGAAATCAATCAGATTATAAAAATATTATTAGTGAACACATTTCGTTTACAAGTTCTCCAAACATTGATGAGGGTGGTTATGAAGAACTAAAACAACAAAGCCAACAAAATAGATATTATAGAAGTTATACAATTGCAAAAAATTCTTCTAGTCCTTATTATAGAAATCAGATTGACATGATGAAATCTGAATGTGAATATGATTTCAAAACAAATGTAACAAAATTTAAAGAAATTCGTATTTTAAAAAATGGATTTCTAAGAAATTCATTAGAACAACGTAAAAATTTTTCTGAATTCTTGATTGAAGATTTGAAATCAGATTCACAAATACTATTTATTTTTTCTAAACTGCAACAACCAGGTTTCCCAAACATGTATAAACCAATTCCTTATGCAGATCATATAGTGTATGAAGCTTCAAAAATCATCAATCAGCTTGATTCATCATATATTGCAATACATTGGAGAATGGAAGAAGTAATACCCAAAAATCTGCCAAATTGTGCCAGAGAATTAGTTAAAACAATACAAAAAATAAAAGAAAATACTGGAATAAATAATGTCTATTTAGCAACTGATTTCCCCTTAACTTACAACAAAAATGGCAGTATAATTATAAGTAAAAATGTTCTTGAAATTGAACCACAATCTGGCACTTTTCATGTTATTACAATTTTTCACGTTAAAGCAATGGAGATACTAGCTTCTTCAATAAAAGACATCAAAACTTGGAAATCTTTAAATGCTTTTGGATATTTAAAATATATTGGAAAAGAAGAGGAAAATAAAGAAAATCTTTTGTTTAATGAATTACAAGGTCCAGGTGTACAAGGAATATTAGATAAAATAATTTGTATAAATTCAAATTATTTCTTGAGTGGACCAAAAGGTTGCTGTAGATCACAATCTACTTTTACAAAACAAATTGCAGATTCAAGAAAACAATTGTTGATTGAAGGAAATATAAACATATTAAATGATATTACAAGGTGGAAATTTACTAATTAATTTTAATATTAATAATTAATAGAATAATTTTTTATATAAGCAAATTTGCTATTATTCTCTTTATCATCTAGAAAAAATACATTAGCATTGTAATATACATATAAAGATTAACTTATTATTATTATTATTGTTATAATAAATAATATGAAGCAATTCTTAAAAAAATTTATTTTTTCTCTTAAAAAGAAAAACGTTAAATATTAATTGCAATTTTTCTTTGACTTCGAATAATGAAGAATTCCTTTTATATCACTATTTTGCAAATGATGTTTTTTACTTTTTTGTCAAAATTTTCAAACTTGATTGGCACTCAACACCTTTAATGATTTTATTAAAAACATAATATTAGTATTAACAGAAAAAACATTGAAAATAGTAGTAATGATTTACCCAATAATAATAATGGTGAACAATTAACTAGTGAAGATATTATCATTCTAAGTAATGTAGATATATCCATCCAACTAAGTATAGTGATGTTAGCCGGCTAAAAAAAATTTCTTTTGACATTCATTTTACGTCTGGAATTTTAGTGCAGGATTCAATGGCATAAGCATTTAGTTGAGATGGGTCCACCTACATTACTTAGAATGACAAAAAAACATACATTTACTCAAAAAGCAAAATACAATACATTATAGCAGGATAAAAGTCATAGAGTTTCTATTCGCAATACAAATTCTTATTTTAATTCGAATTATTCGTTCTATTCGTTTTATTGAAACTATTAATATTCGTTCTATTCGAATTATTTATTATATTCGAATTATTCATTTTATTCGTTTATTCGAATAAAACTTTCAATGTAATTAGCACGTACAATTATAATAAAATAGATAAAAATACTATATATATAATTGTTTTTGAAATTATAATAAAAATTTTGGATGCAAAATTCTGATTGACTAATTTGAATTTCACACGTGTGAATTTAAAATTTCAAACTCACTGCACGCACAACAGTAACGAAGATAAATAAATATTAAAGATCAAGTTGAATATTATCATTAAAATCTCTAGTAAAAATACTAAAATGAATATACAGTGTGTTAAGAAAAAACGACTGTGATAAAAAATTGCACATCTCAACAATCACATAACATAATTAAATAAATTTAGATTTGTTTGAAATTATTTGTTAATATTAAATAAAAAAATAGACATGAAATGCTATTAACAATTTTCTGTAAAGCTGATTCATATCTTTTTTTTTAAAAAACTGCTAAATTTTTTTGTTTGGAATTTTAACATGAAATTTTTTAATAATAATTCTGACACAAAAACATACATAATAATCATACAAAAAAAATATACCAGTTTGTAATGAAAGTTCTAGAGATTATGTATATAAACTTTCATACTTCCAGATTTTCTAGAATTTTGTCAATTGGAATAAAAGGAATTTGAAAACTATTAGATGGATAAATTTCTTTAATAATTGCTCTAAAGCCTACATAACAATAGGCTTCAGAAATTTTATATGTTATAATCCAAGATCCTCCGATTCTCTGGTATAATTTTTATTATATAATTTTCATTAAAAACCAATATTTACAAACCGCAGTTTTTTCTTAATGCAGATCAAATATTTTCGCAAATAAACTACCACTACATGATTATAAAACTCCATGTATAATAAATTCTACCTAGTTTTGATTGTAGGACCGTTATTAATATTGTAATACTCTTGTTCTAAAACAATCATCTCTAAGTTTCATTGACTTCACAATAATCATAAAAATAATCATTTCTGTCCTGAAGAAAGTGAAATTCAGGTCACATCCAATGCAGTCTCGCCAATTCCGGCATTACAATTCCAGTTACCCGAAAAACGGGCATGCAGTGTAGCTTTGCTCGGATGCAACCATAGTGAAGGATTGCGGATAGAACCTTCAGTGTGTGTATTTTATTCAGTTTGAAATGCGTCGGTTTACACTGGTAAAAAAAAAAAAATAGTTATACAAGAGTCAAACGTTTGTTGAGATGTACAGTTTTATCAAAAGTTTATCCTTTATTAACTAAAACCATACATCTTAACAAATGTTTAACCAAAATCAAATTCGATTTTTTTACCAGTGTTAAATAACTAAATAATCACATTCACGGGATGTTCAGAACTCATTCTTGCAAAAACTAATCTTTAAGAAAGATGCAGACCCAATCAGAATTGATACTTTGACTTTCAGATATAGAATCACTGAAAGTTCGTCTTTCGCCATGGGCAAGTTATCATGTTTGTACAATTTTGTTTTCGGAAACGGCCAGGGAAACAGAATCTTCTATGGTTTCACTAAAATCCTTCTCATTTTTTCATTGGAAAAAAAAAAAAAACAGAAAACTGGTTTAAATAATTCAATCAGCAAACATATCCTTTTTGTATATGCCACACATAAATCAAGAGTTCACCATATATTTGCATGCAATCACTATTTTTAGATGATAACAATTTTATCAACAAGAATACAACGTGTTAGTCAAATATAAACAAAAACTTTAATATTAATTAAATTCTAAATAGTAGGACGAGACCAAATTTTCACCACGGCGCACAGCTCACAAGAAAAAGAAAAAATTACCCCTCCCCTATTCCTTCGTTTCCCCCCTTTTTTCTTCCTCATTTCATTACAACGTACAATTCCTCCCCCAACATAGGAGAAATTAAAGCGCCACTCTTAAAATTTTTATTTAACAAACTTCACACATCAAATTTTGGTTGGACGAATCCACCAACAACTCCACAACTAAAGACTGATCATATAGACCTTTACACAATTAACTTCTTGACTACTAAGAAAGCAGCAACAACAACAAAAGTTTGCTACTGAGTATTTAATGGGCACGTCTATTATTGATCAAATAAAATAGTAAACGACAAAGTATTGCGCTGGGTGCCTTTTATTATAGCATGGGTAATAGAAAAATTTTAAAAAAAATTTAAAAATGTCGAATTCTTCTTTTTTATATAAATTTCTTTCTTCATTAGTTTTTTTTTCAATTACTGGTCTTAATAAATAAAAAGAAAGCTGGTAAAGATAGCGATAGCGCATTTTATTGTTTGAAGCTTCAACTAAATAAATTCTTGCATGTATTTTACTATTGACATTGACCTTGTTTTATTGTCCATACCCATCAATTATAGAACAACTACCTTGTTTTTATTATCCACACCTAAATAATAAGAAATAAATAAATATATTATCTCAAATGGTCAAAAGTATTCTTTAATATTAATGGCAACACAAAATTACGAACTTGCATTCTTATTGGCCAATTCAACGATCTGCAAAGTAAAAATAGTCAATTGACCAATTTTTAAGGAAGATTTTACGAAAACCACAAGGACAATAACCGAATTTTTATTCACAGATTAACCAGCTGAATCTCAAATATCATTTTTGTATTAAAAAGTGATACCTTCAGAAAAAGTTTTTATAACAGAAAAAAAAAAATTTCGGCTATCGATAGCCGAAAAAACGTTCGAGGGACCAGATGATTAAAAAATTTCGAAATTTTTAGATCTCGTTTGATTTTGCAGTCTGGGATAATATTTATTTTTAAATAAAATAAAGTTTAAATTAATTGTAACAAATTCAAATGTCCGCCATACTTTTTTGTTTTTTATTTATATTATTTATTATTGATCAGCATTAGTATTAAATTAGTAATACTTAGAAAGGCTTCATAATTGGATCCCATACGAATTAATTAAATTAATTAAATTAATTAATTACTCTAACGTAAAAATATTTGCTAATTTAATCGTCATGCAATTCAATTATATTATTTGTATAAAATGATGTTCGTTCCTGACTTGCAAATTAATTTTAGTAAATTTTTTAATCAATAATTATGGGTAAAACATATAATCAAATAGATACAAAAAAAAATAATAGATGGGAAACATATATAAAAAAATTAACATTACTTGCGATAGTAACCATCTTGTGGAATTTATTGTATTATTTATCATCATATAACTATCTTTTTAATAATAATATCGAAGATTCCTCCTCACAAATAAAACATATATCATCATCAAAAATATTACAGGATTGCAACAATGACTGTAAATTCCTATTTCCATACTTCATAGCAGAACAAGAAACAAAATCCAATTTACACATAAGGACATTTGTTCAATTGGCTGAATCTTTAAATCGTATCTTAGTATTACCAAATGTTGGCTCATCAAGATCCAGAGCATGTTTACCCTTTTCACCTTCTTTTTATTATAATTTAAACTCATTGCATGAAATGTTTCCGAATGCAAAATTCATTGTTCAAAAAGAATATGACTTTTGGCTTGAAGATCAATCAGATTATAAAAATATTATTGGAGAACACATTTTGCTTAAAAGTACTTTAGACCTTGCTGAAGGTGGTTATGAAGAACTAAAACAACCACTACATCGACAAAATAAATTTTATAACAGTTTTAGTATTGCAAAAAATTCTTCTAATCCTTATTATATAAATCAGCTTGAAACCATGGATTCCAAATGTCATTATGATCTCAAAACAAATGTAACAAAATTTAAAGAAATTCGTATTTTAAAAAATGGATTTCTAAATCATTCACCAAAACAACGTAAAAAATTTTCCAAATTCTTGATTGAAGATTTGAAATCAGATTCACAAATACTATTTATTTATTCTGAATTGCAACAAGCAGCTTTTCCAGATTTGTATAAACCAATTCCTTATGCAGATCATATAGTGAATGAAGCTTGGAAAATCATCAATCAGCTTGATTCATCATATATTGCAATACATTGGAGAATGGAACAAGCAGCACCCAAAAATCTGCCAAGTTGTGCCAGAGAATTAGTTAAAACAATACAAAAAATAAAAGAAAATACTGGAATAAATAATGTTTATTTAGCAACTGATTTCCCCTTAACTTACAACAGAAATGGCAGTATAAGTATAACTAGCAATGCTCTTGACATAAAACCACAATCTGACACTTTTGAAGTTATTACAATTCATCACATTAAAGCAATGGAGATATTAACTTCTTCAGTAAACATCAAAACTTGGCAATCTTTAAATGCTTTTGAATATTTAAAATACATTGGACAAGAAGAGGATAAAGAAAATCTTTTAATTGGTGAATTACAAGGTCCAGGTGTACAAGGAATATTAGATAAAATAGTTTGTATAAATTCAAATTATTTTTTGAGTGGTCCAAGAAGTTGTTGTAGAATACAATCTACTTATACAAGTCAAATTGAAAATTCAAGAAAACAATTGTTGATTGAAGGAAATAGAAATATATTGAATGATATTACAAGATGGGAAAATAATATTAATAATTAATAAAATAATTTTTTATATAAGCAAATTTGCTATTACTCTCTTTATCATCTAGAAGAAATACATTAATATTGTAATATACATAGATTAACTTATTATTGTTGTTAATAAATGAATAATAATTTTTTATTTTTTCTCTTAAAGAGAAAAACATTAAATATTAATTGCTATTTTTTTCTTTGACTTCAAATATTGAAGGATTCCTTTTATGATGATTATACTTTTTTTTTTTTTTTTTTTACAAAGGCTTTTTCTTTTTGATGTGTGCAATATGTTATTTCGCAATAAATACAAAGAAATTTGATTGGCACTCAACACCTTTACATAATAATAATAATAACGGTAAACAATTAACTAGTGGAGGCATTGATTTGTTGAATAATAATAATAACAACAATAAAACGAATAACGAATAATTCGAATAAATTTTTATAAGATTGAATAATTCGAATAAGAATTTGTATTACGAATAAAAACTCCAACTATTGCTTTCTCTATTATTACATTTTATCCTGCTACGAGTATTGTATGTTTTTTATTTTGTCACTTTAAGTAATGCAGATATACTTACCCACATCAACTAAGTAAGTGTCTATGTCAACGAATTCTTCACTAAAATTCCAGACGTAAAGAGAAAATTTTTGTTATTATTATCATCTAATTTAGCCGGCTAAACTTAAATAGGGCGTTTTTACCGGCTGATATCATTAGTATCAATGGACTGAACTTTTTCTAGGGAATGACAGAAAAACCTCACAAGTCACTTAACACGTATAATTTTTTTGATTTGAAATGAGAAATAAACTTAAAATTATATAAAAGTGGATAATAGATAACCACTATATAATTATAAAGCTTCGTATATAATAAATCTTACCTAGTTTTGATTCTAGGGTCGTTATTAATATCATCATATTCTTGTTATAAAACAATCATCTCTAAGTTTCATCAACTTTATAATAATCATAAAAACAATCACTTCTATTTGAAATTCGGGTCACATCTAATGCAGTTTTAACGTTGAAACTTTTTGGGATGGTAAAGAAATTTAGCAGAAAAATGACCTTTAGAATTTCTAATCGGCTCTTTGGTAAAATGTAGATGCTACTTTTCCTAATTGAGAAGAAGAGAAATTATCTTCAATACTTGAGTTAGTATTCACCAAATTGATCTTAAATGAATAAGCGAATATATATATAAATTTAAGAGTACAGTTTGACGAAATGATTTCCCGCTCACAAAAACATTCCGTCAGGTATCATTAATTTGTTCGGGGCCTTAACATAAATTCCATTAATTCTTGCGAAATCCGAAAGGCTTAAAACAAATGAGTGATTTAAAACTAATGTTTAAAGATTTGGTGCCATTGTTAATTGTTAAATATGGTCGATATAAACGGTATAGTTTGAAAACAATTAAACATCTAGAATATAATTGATTGACTTGTAACAAACACGTCCTTTGTTTAGCAATTTTATATTGTAAATGCCATTTTTCGCAACACATTGAGCCTCATATTTTTTTCCAGAAAATTTATCCGTTAAACGAGAATTCTTAATAACTTTGATCTTGAAGATAATCAATGACTGTATCTTATATATAATAGTTTCTAAAAACAAATAAAAAAGTTAGATCCGCATATGATCAAATCACGTGATACAAATTAAAAAATTTTTAATTAATATTAAACCAAATATGGTCTAAATTTAGATTCCGTTCTTTCTTTATAAAAAGTTTTTATGTAAAACCCCGGGTGTGGTGTGTACTATTCAAAAAGATCTTCTCAAATTAATAGTATCTCAATATGTAAATAAAATAATAATGGTTTATTATTGTGTAAATTTTTCTAAATTTTATTATGCATTGTTCATGTGGTGCGAAAATCCGAAGGATTTCCGAATCCCGTTATTTATAATAATAATAATAATAATAATATTTTGGTATCATACGATTTTTAAACAGCTGTTATCATGACCTGATCCAAAATTTAAATAGCTGATTTTATAAATGTTTTTATGATGAACATACCAACAGAAATTTTGTATCAGAACATGATAACATACATGGAAGGATTAGATAGGAATACTGGCCAAAAGGAAACTTGTTACCAATCATCTTTTCCTTCATCTTTCCACACAAGACATGCTTACACTACTTCTAAATCAACTCTTCCATCGGAAAGATTAATTCAAGGAGATCATTCGCCTGAGTATAGAGAAAATAGAAATAAATTTGAGTATTGTAAATATATGATACAACAAGAAGAAGGAAAGCTACAATAATGAAAGTCGTTCATTTATATTTTGTACTTTATGTAATTGCTTTATGTTCAAATTCAAAAAGAAATTGTTTTGTGAAATATCATAGTAGTGATTAAAAATAATAAAAATATGCACATGATTTTCAACACACATTAAAATGAAAACTTGTATCGTAAACTGGATGTTTTTTTTTTAAATAAACTTGTTTATTAGAAATAGTATTTTTACATAATTTACGGTTTAGACCAAATAATCAATGAGTAAAAACTTTTCTAATCATAACTATTAAAAAAATTAAAAATCGGGATTTTTTTTACAATACACCTTTTTTCACACTAATTAACCCCCCAAATATCAAACAAATAAAATGGTTTATACAATCAAAGCTCTCTATAACGAACCTCCTGGACTGAGAATCTTGGTTCGTTATACGTATTTTTATTTTCATCATTTTTATTTTTATTATGTTTATTTAAATTATTTGTATAACGTCGTAATTTTGAGATATCTTCACAATTTTGGGATATCGTCGCAATTTTGAGATATCGTCTCAATTTTGGGTCTTCTCAATATTGAGAGAATATCTCAATTTTGGGATATTGGAATTACCAATTAATTGAATTGTATATAAGGAGCTTGGATTCAATGTACTTGTAAAGTAACTTTCTCATAAGTTAATTAGTTTCGACTAAGAAAACTAAATAAATAAAATAGTGATATTTTATTTAAATAAACTTTTATCTTCTTTACCCAAAATTATTCGCTAATAACAAAATCAATTCGTTGATTCCTATTCATTCTGATCCACGCAAAAACAAAAATAATTGTTATCACCAATTAAAAATACGCTCTCCCAAATTTAATCGGTGTCACTATTGTTAAAAAATTTTCTTTTATTGTCAGTCATTATATTAAAATTAATTTTTGAATGCTATTTTTAGAATATCAATCATTACAATATTTAGAAATCTCATTGATACTATACCCACCATAAACAAATGGCTATAAATGACCAAAGTGGCTTTAGTGGCAAAAGAAAAGTACTAATACTAAACAAGTCACTATTAAAAAACTTATAAATACAAGGTTCAATAATTCAATAATTCAATCATATTCTAATCAAGGAATTAAAAAAAACCAACCATTGCTTTAAACAATAAAAATTTAACAAAATGGAAAACACACCAATTGATTCTATGCTTTCATTTGATTATGATGCACTTCAAAGAGAAATTACAAATATTGATAATGCAGATGATGATTATTGTGATGATGAAATACTTGAAAATAATGAAGATGTGCAAGAAAATCTTAGTGGTGAAGCTGAATTTGATATGGAAGTCCCAAAAGAAATTAAGCCCAAAGTCACACCATGTGTAATTGTAGATAATGAGAATAATGAAGAAAAAATTGAGTGCTGCAACTGTATGGATAATAATAATCATAGTATTCACAACTTGATTGTTGCTTTGAGATAAATTCAAATGCTGTAAGAGAAGTTGGAAAGGAGGTTGAAAAATTAGGGATATGTTTAAAACATTTGAATCTTGATCAAAATAAGTTTCACCAACCTGTAGAAGGAGAGTCATATATAAAGGCAACACAACCCTTTTATAATGGTACTATTCACAAAAAACTGTGCCTTCTTGCAACAGATACAAGTGTTTTTATACAAGGGGTAATGCCTGTAAAATACATTTATGGAATGTTTGTAATTGTAATATCCAAGTTCCATGTCATGGTTTACATGATTGTCAAGCAATAATAGAACATCCAATTTTGGCTAGCATTCCAGAAAATACTCAATGTGTTCAATATGTTTGCACTGATTGCTTGGTATTAAATGGTGCTCATCTTCATGTGAAGCCAGGTTCAGAAAAAAATCATTTTCCTGTGTAGATAGAAAAAAGCATGAGGAAGATTCTACATCTTCCTTAAGGCTTATTGCCAGGTGGATTAATAATGTTGCCTCCTCAAATAATAATGACACAAAAAATAATCTATTAAATCTTTTAATAAACAAGGTCATTGGAGATTTTAATACAACAGAAACAAAAGCTACATTACCATCAAGTTCTACAGTAATAGGATCTTCTGATAACCTATTAATCCCAAGTTTTTTCCATCTCAATATAGATTTGGCTGTAAAAAACATTAATATGAATGAAGATGAGAAAAACAGTCAGCTGGATTCAAAAACATTTAAAAATTATGGTCAAATTCAATTTGGCAAACATGTAATATAATCAAAGAAAACAAATTACCACTAGAAGAACCAGAATCTCTTGATGAAATTTATGAGGCAATTCCAAAAAATCTCACTAGCTTTTTCAACAGTCTAATCACCAATCTATATGAAAAAAACATGAGATAGTTAAAAAGAAACAAAAACAACTTAATTTACCTGAAACTGAATAAAATGATGAAATACTTGAAAATAATGAAGATGTCCAAGAAAATCTTAGTGGTGAAGCTGAATTTGATATGGAAGTCCCAAAAGATATTCACTTATAAAAAAAATCACCACATTTTTGACATCAGTGATTTTGAAATTCGCCTTTCCCCATACAAAAATCTGTTCACACAAATAATATCTTCCCTATGTCAAAATCCCAAACTCCTGCCCTATCTTCATTCAATTTTACAGAAAGCAACCTTACAGACAGTTCAAGTTGCTTCACATAGCAAGTGTCATTAATATAGGGTTCATAATGAACATATATCAAGTACTGTACCAGCATCTAGGCTTGAAATAGGTCCAAATATTTGGAATCTTGCTATCATTGATAATATTGACATCAGAGACCACACATATTCATATGGGAATATTTTTGATGTGACTTGTAACACAAAACATGCTGTTGTTAGGACTTCACTCCAGTATAAGTTACCACATCCTGTTGAAACACCTATTGATGATAGTGAGCAAATATTACCAGAACCAATCTTTTCTGATCAGTTTGCTAATGAATGGATTGAAAAATATGATGATATTTTTTCTGTTTTATATGAAGAAAATAATAAAGATTTTGGAATGGAGAAAATTAATGAATCAATTCGAAAATACATAAAAACTGGATGTAACTTGCCAACACCAAATCTTGTGATCCTTCAGGGAGGTCCAGAAGCCAATTCTAATGATAATGTATATGAATCTTGTGATATGATTTTGGTATGTCTGGCACCTTGGATGTAGCTTGTGATTAAGCAATCTACCAGAGATTAAACAATTATTCTAATCCTCACCAAACTTTGAATTGTATATTGGGAGCTTGGCATACAAATAAAGCCATGCGCAATACCTTAATTTCTGCTTTTTCTGGATATGGTCTATTTAGAATGGCCAGAACACTTGGTACACAATACTTGGATAAGTTGGAAAGGGTAGTAGATTACAGGTCCACATTCAGAGTCCTTGAACTCATTTGTGCAGCCGTTGGTATTGCAATCCACCTTTATAAAATAATATACTTGCAGGCAACAATAATATTCTTAAAGTGTGGTTACATTATTACAAATGGGCAGGATTATTGAAATCACATAAAATGGGAATTAGGATGGCAAACCTGGAATTGCAATTAAAAAGCTTGGAATCTTTTGCCCCAATTTTCCCAGTGACCAAAAAGTACAAGTATGCAGAATCTGTAACCAGGTTTTTAATTCATGTCAGTAGGAATCCAGAACTACAGAAGCAACTTCAAGCTGCACCCTCAGTTGATCTCACCAAAGAGAACCATTATCTTGCATACAATGAAACCCTTGAAATATTTGGTATCAAATTTGTCAAACAAAATCTTCCTGGGAATGTAAAAAGTTCAGAAGATTTAAAAAATCTAATAAAAACAGTACAGGTAGAAAGAGAACAAATGCTAATGTTATATGTTGAATTTGTTGATGAAAGTAATGTGCCCAGAAAAGAAAGGAATGTAAATGACCATAGACAAGCAATGTGGGATTTGGCTGATGAACTTTTAAAAACTTTTGAAAGCAACTTACCCAAAATATGATAAATTTTTGTCATGTTATTATATTACCTTAATTTTTATTGATCATTTGAAAAACTTCCAATTCATTGAATTTACTATTAGTTATTATATTGATGTTAGAATAAGTACATGGAACACTAGAAATACTACCATCTGCTTTAAATTGAATATCAGTGTTTCCAAAATAAGGTAAATAGTTTGGATTACAATAGATTGCATAACTACTATTATTACAATTGCTAAATTTTGCAGAGTTGATATTATTTCTGTTGGCTACATTAAATATAAAGCTTTCAGTTGTAACTCCATAACCATTTCCATTCCAATCAAGTGGATTATAACCACCAATTATCTGATCTAAATTCTTTATTTTAGCAATTACAAGAGTTTTGGAACATTATCACATTTTTGATGAAATGTATTTGCATTTAAACCATCATTACTGCTATGATATAAAAGTTTAAATTCATATTTGATTTCACTGAATAACTTGTATGGTGGACTTTTTTTGTCAATCAGACTTGCAAAATTCAAAGTAAGCATATGGTTGATTAATAATTTAAGTCCTCTTGATGGTAAAAATTTTATAGTTAGTTTATGATTAAGGGGGTAAATAAAACTTTGAAAAATCATTCAATAAAGTTTTAGAAAAAGCATTTGATAAGGCAAAATCTTGTGACAATAATCCTTTCTTTTAATAGATACAAAGATTATTAGAACAAAAGAACAAAAAGCAGACAGAGAAGTTTATGTAGTTAAAATTATTATAAATAAGGCATAATCAAGAATTTTATTTCATTAAAAAAATAAAAACTTATATATAAATTAACCTCAATTCCTAACTGGTTAATTCTCTTGATAGATATATTAGTTTAAAAACAATAATAAGATTCATTGCATTTTCCTTCTTCCAAAGATTTCTGCTTTTTGTTGAGTAATAATAGCACACCTTCACTATGCTTCCTTTTCCTAATTTTATTATTTTTTCTTTCCTCTTGGTAAATTTCATAGGTGATTTTCTCTTTCCTTAGATAAGCTTCTAGTGTTTGTGTATCATTTATTTTGGAAGCAATTTTCTCACCTTGTTCCCTTTCAAAATACTTCTGATTGTACTATAATTTTTGGGATCCATGGTGGATCTGATATTGTCATTTAAGAATAACTAAATTTTTGATCCCTGAAACCCTTGATAGTGCAAATATTCACTTTGTATGGTTTTGTCCCATATAAGGTATCATATATCCTATAATAATTAATTATAACTGCAAATTATAATATAAATGTTTATTCTTTTAATTGTTCAGAGTATTTCAATCTAAAACGTGGAATGAATTAATTCATATCACTGAAAATATTAGTGAAATTGCAGATATGAAATTTGGTGAACTTGCTAAATTTTCAATTACATCTGGATGAGATAATTCCTTCAGAATATTTGGTACTACAGAAGAGAATCCAACAATAACAGAGCTTGAAATACAATATATATATATATATAAATTCCTGCTTTAGAAGTATTAGTTTGAAAATTAAAATAATACTAATACATTTTTGTGAAATGGGGCATACTGCAACAAAACCAGACAAAGTGAACATTAGTGTTACCAAGAATTTCAGGGATCAAATGAAAAAATTATTGATCACTAAAAATAGAGTTGTTTACATTCCAAGAGAATTCTTTCACTTTAACGATGACAATATTGTAAAATGTAAGTTTTACAAATTCCCAAATAAGGAAATAATTATTAATAATTTCGAAGTTAATTGATAATTATAAGCATTATGCGATTTAACATTAATTCTACATTTTATATCATTGATCTTTAATATTTACAATAATTATTATCATAGTTATCAAACGATGCAAAATTATTAATATTAGTAATAATTTGTAAGAACATATGTCACATCATAAATCTTAGAAATCAAAAAGTAATGACACAAGCTTTGTATTACTTAAAAGAAGCATGATAGACATTCTATTTATCACATAGTGACAAAATCGATTGTCGATCTTTTTTATATTGTAGAACATAAAATTTCAATTGTTTTAAAATAGAAAAAAAGGTGATATTGGTGCAAAAAAACCTGTGTACCTTGCATTTTTTTTTTACATTGATGGGTTATTTATACTATTCTTTATGTTTGGTTAGAATAAGATCTGAAGATCTTTGTCCTGTCGAAAGTTAGATAAGAAACAAAGTTTTTGAGGCTCTGGTGAGGAGATCTGAAAAAGATCTGTGGTCCTTCAAATTCTACAAGAATAATATTTTTTATATTAACATTAACAAAAAACAAAATGCTTGAACAAAATTAATATTTGTTCTTTTCCTTTAGATCAAAAGCTGAGAAAGGGGAGTATTATAATGGATGTAAGTGATTTCAATAATTCCAAGTATCATATGAATAATAATAATGCATATGACAGAAATGAACAACACAAAAAAACATAGATCATTATTTAAAAGATCAAAGTCTTAACAAATAATAATAATGCAAATAATGCGAACAAAGTTATTATTAGATAAGATATATATCAACATATGCATATATGATAATTATTAGGATTTATTAAATCAGACATATAGTATTAGTTTTGAAGTTAAATTTTTTTTATTATTTGTAGGCATTACAGGATCCCATTACACAACTTTTCACAACTTTTTACATTATTAGCACATGAAAACAGAGATCTCTGGGATTGTGATAAGCCTTTCAAAAGGTAACTTCTGATGTCATTTTTGTTTAATCTTAAAAAAAACAAAAGATCAATGATATCAATCCTATCTATTCTAGTTTATTAACAAATCATTTAATATGACAAATAAATTCCAGAGTTACCATAACAAATAACAAATGGCATTTTATAACTAAAAAAAATTACTTTATATCTTTTTTATCTGTTATTGTGAATTTAAATATTAACACTAACAAGTTGTTTGTTTTAAATTGGCCAATCAAAAATTGCTAATTTTGTGATAAATTTGTTTTGTCGATCATCGTACAAATGTGACAACAAAGAATGTCCACCATGCTTTCTGAAAGCAGCATAGTGGACTTTTGATTTTGATCGACATTTGAAATTATCACATTCCATTTTAGTACATGATCAACACAATAAATTACATATTATGTATGTATTAAAATAATAATAATAAACAAATTCAAATGAATATTTCAAGACAAATGCAAGTATTATATTTTATTTATCATAGATCAATCAAATTATAAAATAATTAATCATTTGTTTATATTTAGATAAATTACTTTTATGTCTTTAATGTGGATGATTTTCATGATATACATGAAAAAAAGAGACCTGATACTACATCTTTATCCACAGTAAAACATTTTGCTAGTAAATTGTTAAAAAATGATAATCAAGGTTTAAATAATTTAGAAGTGAAAAATTTTGCTCCCTACTAGGACCTCTTCATGTCTCTTTAAATTCACATGAACAAATAGTTATTGTTCATCATAGGTTTTTTGGAAAAATATTTCATTATATTTTTGGTAATTCCAAAGTATTAGCAAAAAAACCTAAGCCATGGAGAATCAATTTGTTATTGGAATTAGCTATTAAAGGCTGGGAAAAAATCTCCGAAATTATTATGCATAAATTTGGAAATAGCAAAGATGTGGAATATACAGTGTGTGACAAAAAAACTTAACTATACTAAAAATTGAATTATTCAACAAATACATAAGATAATTAAATAAAATTAGACTCATTTAAAAGCTCATCAATTACTTTATTAAATAAAAAAAAAAACTAATACGAAATACTATTGCCAATTTTTTGTAAAGTCAAATTAAACCTTTTTTTAAAAGCCTCATTAAATTTTTGACTCTGAAATTTTAACATGAAATTTTTAATAATTGCTCTAATACAAGAACACGCAATAATTATACAAAAAAAATTATATAAATTTGTAGCCTAAGTTCTGAAGATTATGTATATAAAATTATATGCCTTCTATATTTCCTAGAATTTTAACAATTAAAAATTATTTTTGAAAAAAATAATTGAAATTCTTTTATTTGAATGCGGAGTTTCTCAATCATTATTCTAAAGTCTACATAATAATGTGCTTCAAAATTTTTACATGTAATAAATTAAGATTTCTTGATTCTCTGATATAATTTTTATTATGTGGTTTTGGGTTTAGGTCACTTTTTTAAAAACAAGTTTAATATAGTTAAGTTTTTTTGTCACACACTGTAGAATGGCACTTGACCTTTTAGATAATATAATCCCTGCAACTCTAGATATTTATGCAATTCTTTTTCGTTCTGGTAAATTTGAAAAATATTTAGAATCATTATTTAGAATCTGGACTTTTGCTCTTAGATGGAAAAGAAAAAATATAATAAGATTATACTGGCATTTATTTCAGATTACATATACTGGAAAGAAAATCAACATCCTTTTGCAAATGTATTGGAGAATCATCTTGTTAATTTCAATGAATATTATGTTGAAAATTTT